GAGAGAGAGAAGGAATGAGAGAGACAGAGAGAGAGGAGGAATGGTAGCACTTGTGACCCAGTGTAAAATCATCATATCTTTCTATTTGCAACATGTTCCTCTCTTTATTTCCCACTTCAGTTAATGTTATCTCAAAATCCAATTGCCTAACTAGCAACTTGGGAGTTATCATAGTCACCCACCTCTCTCATTGCCACATCTAACTAGTCAATAAGTCCTTTCAAACTGCAGAGCTTTCTCGCAAACCTTCCCTCTATTTTCCATCTCTATTGCCAATCCTTGATTCAGGCATGAGTCTGAACTCTTGCCTGGACAACTGCAGTAGTTTCCGAATAGCAAGAATAATTTAAAACATTTATCAACTGGCATGCCACAGGCACTGACCAATCAGAATGGCTACCAGTCATAGACACAGCACACTGGTGCTTATCAGCTGTCTTATCCCTTGCCTAATTGGTCTCCTTGTCTCCAATATCCACTTGCTACCATCCATAATCCACTCTGTAGCTATTGTGATTTTTCTACAGCATAAAGTTGATGATGCCGCTTCTTAAGTTCCTTCAATAGTTTTCCATTACCTACAGCATAGTCCTACGGACAAAGCCTAAACTCTGTGGTATGGTGAACAAGGTTTTTGGGGACCCAGTGCCCACCTAATTTTTCAAGTTTTAAATCTCATCACACTCTCACATGCAGTGGCCTACAGCCACTCTGAACTTCTTCTAGTTTGGTGAATGCACCATAGATGTTTTGAGATTCAAGTGTGTGGTCAACAAGTCACATGTCATCTGGAATAGGAATAGAATGTACATTCCCCCTAAAAGGCCCCAACTCTGGGTCTGAAATTACATCTGAGCATCATGAAAATCCACATGGAATACGTTTCCTGGCCAAAAGGCAAAGCAACCTATCCAACAGGCCACCAGCTGGAGGGTTCTTCTTCTTCACTTCCCTGCCATTTTGAGTTTCCTGTTGGTTAAACAACCAGCCGCTTTTCATTATAGGCACACTTCACTTTTTTTTTTTTTTTTACTAGTTGACTGACAAGATAAATCCTAAGGAGTGGATTCTCAAAGTGATGCTATTTTTTCCTTTCATTTGTGACAGATCTGCTACCTTTCCCACATGACAAGGCAGAGCTGCCCTTAAGGATCAGAATTCAGCTGCCTCATTCACTCATTCAACAAGTATTTATGTGTTGGGCACCTCAAGCACTGAGTTCAATGTTCCACATACAGCAATGAGGCAGATATAGTCCCTATTCTTATGAGCCTTCAGTCTAAAGGGGACAACAAATGAACACACATCATAACAAGGACACACACAGGGTTCAGTTAAAGAGATTAAATGGGAAACCTGTGAGGTCAGAGGTCAGCAAAGGCCTCCCTGAATAGACGATACTTAAACTGAGGCCTGAAGGATGAGAAGGCACAAGGATGAGAATACAAAGCAGAGAGCTAGTCTTCACAGAGGAAAGCAAACTACAGCGGCTTTTTCAGAATAGCACCTAGAGGAAGCATCTCATCCACTTACACAAGCAACACAATCTATGTGGTTTGAAGATATTGATATTCTTGGAGAGAGAAATGAGATAATCCAATTGTAAGTATGCTTGTGAACAGTTTGGTTGAAATTCATGTTTAGGATCACATATTCCTCAATGTGCTTTGTGAATTTTCCTTTATTTGTCTTTGTTCATGAAGGCTTCCCATCTACAGTGCTCATTATCAACCCCTACTGCAAAAGTCCTACCATTCTTTGAAGGCCCAGTCCAGCCCCACCTGCCCCATGGGACCTTCTCTGACCACTTCAACCCTTTGAGATTGCCATCTTCTCTGAGCTCCTACAGCCCTCCTATCTTCCTGTAAGAGCTATTTTCTATGAATTATTTCCTTCCAGGGACATGTGTCTTGCTCTATTCCTGATTTAAGAATAGGCATCAACTCTTTGTGGCCAGCCTCCAACTCTTCACCCCGTGTCTGATTGACCAGCTGTAACATTTGTTCAACACGAAGTTTCAAATCTAAGTAGACCACCCACCTACCTCAAGAATTCCATACAGCCAAGGCCAACATAGGAAGGAGGATCCTTTGAGTTTTTATGAAGGAATTTGACCAGATAGATATATAAATACATACAGAAAATGACAAAGTCATACATATTCTCGTCTCCAAGGAAGCACCTCAGACCACTTTACATGTAAGCAAACACAGTAGTAAGATTTCCTTAATCAGAATTCAGGGACTAGTAGTTATGAGAAAATTACCAAACTTAAGAACAAATCCCAAGATGAGTTTTTCCATTTCAAAAATAAAAGAAAGAAAGAAAGAAAGAAAATGACAAAGTTCCGATAATTTTTACAGTACAAAAATTTTATTTTTTGTTAGGATAATTTAAAGTTTAAAACTGAAGTAGACATATTCATTTTACAAACAAGATATTCTTTCATAAGTAAGACCATTAAAAACAGTAAACAAAAAAGCTGTCTTTACAAAAAGCTCTGTGCATAGCAACTTTATACTGTATATAACTGACAAAGCAAAACAAGAAAATGAAACTATACAGTTTGAAGATGAGACCTTACTGTACAAAAGGTAGAGAAAATAATGGTTTTTAAACCATGCATATTGAAATGTGCAAAGAAAAACTGGGAAAAAATACAATGCTATAACAAAACAAAACAAAAAAGAGATAAATAATGAAGTAAATTGTCCCTTTAAATGAAAAATTCTTACACAGCTCCTCTTACAAAGATAGGCTAGAATTTGTAGTTACCTATAGAAATACTCATCTTCCAAAGTGGCACAAAAATAACCTGGGACCAAAATGATTCAATAGCAATGACTAAAGAGGACAGAGTAGCTTTGTTTTCAATTTATTAGTACACTAAAAATAATCCTTACACACATTTGTACAATTAAATAGATCTGTTGCTGCCAAGGTTCTAGCTGAATGGTCAAGGATGTCTGGCATTTAGTGACACACATTTTTCGGTATAAAGCTACCGACAAATTCTACAATCATTTTGAAGACAGTACTGCACTCATCTTCATGCAAGAGCAAATATCACAGATTCTAAAAGCAATGCTACTGAAAAAAACATTTCCTTATGTTAGATTGGCTCAAATCCAGGTCTAACTATGCGTGAGTTCGTTCTGCCTTCACTTTCGGATGGTAATGTTTGTATTCCGCTCACTCGTCCCCTCCCATCAGATTCTTCACCAGAGAATGTTCTCTGGTGTGTTTCCCTGTATTTTGGTGCTTTAAGCCCTGACTGTGAGGGACTGTCAGCAAGAGTTATAAGCATGTCAGGTATCCCAAACCTTGGAATCTCATGTGCATAGAAATAATAGTTGGGTCCTATTGGGTAATTCCAGAATAAAGGCAAAGGATACTGTTAGGATTGAATAGAGATGGGCATGTATCTCCGGGGCAAACAGGAGGGAGACAGAACTTACAAAGTCATGTAAAATTGGCTCATATGCACTAAAGATGTTTTTCCATGAGAACTGCATCAATCTGTAATGCTGGAACCCCAACCAAGAACCCCAAGCTGGAGTCTGTGTATAGACTATATTGTGGTGCCAAAGAGTCAACAAGGAGAACCCTGGCGTGGAAAAAAAAAATGACATCCTTATTGGCAATCCAAACAAGTCTGGCTACATCCCCAGGATCACACAAGCTTTCAAAACTCAGCCACTGTTAGCAGCTCTTGCAATGTTTCTCCCTCTAAGAGCCCCTCCCAGAACTGCGGAGAGCCCATTGAAGGCCTGGATAACTGAGCTGCTGGGAACACAGGTGCCCCCCATCTCTGACCTTGCTAAGAATCTGAGTTTCCATTTCTTTGAACATGAGGAGAGGGATTTAGGGCTTTTAACATTCCTCTTCCACATCCCATCCCATTCCTGCCTGGAAACTGGGTCAAATTGGATCCATAATTTTTTCAAGAGAGTTTCATTCCACGAAAGGGGAAATCTGCAAACAGAAGAAAAGATTTGGACATTCTAAGAGTTCAAGAAACAAAGTTGTCTTCTTCAAACCCTGTTTCTGAAGTTCTGTGGGGTTTCTACCTCGATGTTGACCCAGATAACCCAAGTGGAAGGAGAGTGTGGCTCTGTTAAGATTTCCAAAGGGGCTGCTGGACTGGGAAAGTCACGTGGCTTTGGCTCTTCTTTAAGGTCTTTCCCTAGGATGCAAAGCCGGGGACACGCTGAAACATGGGAATTCTCTGCACGCTCGGGAGAATGTTGAAAGCTAATACACGTTTTAAAAAAATTTACAAAGAGTGAATACAAAAAGGGATATGTAGACTATTTAGAAAGCAGATGGAGCTGGGAGTGAATTGATGGACTTGAGTGTCTGTGTATGTGTATGGACTTGAATCTTTCCGTATTGGGTTGTTCTGTAGGAATCTACATCAGGTACCTGTTCTTGCCCATGGGTCAATAAAATGATGGAAAAGAGGGGGATGCAAGATGGGGGATAAGAGTCTAGTAAGTAACTGCAGTAATAATCACACACCTTTTAAACTTGTTACTACATGTTTGCATCAGTTTCATTTTACATCGGGAAGAGAAATTCCTCTCTTCCAAAAAGGTCTTAATTTCTACCTCTACTTACAATAAGTTACACGTTTATTTATTTAAATAATTGTAAAACATTTTAAATTTTTTCCCTTTTTTTGTTTTTTTTTTGTTTGTTCGTTTGTTTTTTTTTTTAAAGAGATTAAACTATAAGCAAACACACATACAACAACATTTCATCATTCAATTCAGGTTTCGTCTTAAGAAAGTCTTCCATGCTGGTACCCTGTTTTGTTCAATTTTTTTTTTCTGCATAAACTAAATTGGTATCTGAAAGGCTTCATAGAAAATAGAAACTTTCAACTTTTTTTTCCTACAAAGAAAAACAAATAGTATCCAAAATATTAAGCATGAATTGTTTGCCAATTTTTTTCTTAAATATTTTACAAACATAGGAAGGTGGTTCTTACAATGTTCATAACAAAGAATTTCTGCTTTTAGCACTGACTATGTCAATGACATCTTTTGTCCTTGTCCCCAAGAGGGTCAGTTTATGTAGCCACCATCAGAGCTACATGAGAAATGTGAGACCAGATAAGACGCCGCTCCTCATACACCCAAATCTGTCCATCATGTTCCTTTTGGGGGCACAACACTCCCCACACAGAGCTCATAGTGCTTTCTTCATTATTGGTCCATCAGAGTAAGTAGTTTTGTGCTATAAGAAAGCAGTTCTTCTTCTTTACATTGGGGGCACGACAAGTCCGGTCATGGCTGCAAGGAAAGGGTGACACAGGAATGAGACTTGGAGGCTTTTTACATGAAAGTCTATCACCCAAAGAGAGGGGCCAATGATGGGATTGACAGAGTCTGATGCAATCCAGGGAGATGGTGCCCTCCACTGATAGGGGAACCTATTTTCTCCAAGCAGTCTACCTAGATACCAAAAGCTTACAGATCACTGGAATATACACAAAGCTTGTGGACATTTTGCTTGGGAAGCCAACAGTTATGTTTTGTTTGTTTTATATTAATGGGGTTTATACATGACCTAATGGACATAAACATGCAAACTACACTGTACTATAGGTATATTTTTCATTATTAGACTAAAATAATTTCTAGATTATATGGTTCCAAATCACTTAGCTGGAACAGGAAAGAGTACTCCAGATGCCAAGCCTATTGAGTTACTTACTAGGCATCATTTATAACAAATCAGGCTTTCTCTCCATCCTAGGTTTCTATCCATTCTAGCTGAAATTGATTAGCTTTTTTTCCCCCCGACTAGCTCATCTTCCTTTAGTGCTCATGGCTGCCACGTGAATGCTCACTCACTCATAAATGCTGATCCACTGGAATAAAAGGCTTGATTTAGTTCCTAACTTGGGAGTCACTCCAATCTCCACTCTGCGTCCCCTGTTCAAGTGTGATGCCCAGTGCCTTCTGCATCTAGTCAAGAGGACATGGACAAGGCCTGTCTGGGTGGCGTCAGGTCCAAGGCTCTCCCTTGAAATGGGAACTAAAGCAGCGTGAGCACGATGTAGAAAAATCACACAGAAAATGTGCCCCTTCAGCCGTGGCTTTCAGGTGATGCACTCATAGAATTTTCACAGTCTTGGAAATGAACAGAATCGTTTCCTGGCATCAAAACTTCAAACCATATCTAGAATTTGACCCTTTGAACTTTATGGTCTCTATCTCATCTAGGGCTTATCAAATAGCATAGAAGCCTTTTGCTGAGTGGTGCTTACTACGCTTATAAGCAAATGGCCAAAATTCTTCCTACTTCTCCCCAACACACCTCCCTCCTCCTCCGCCCCTCCTCCTCTCCGTCTTCCTCTTCCTCCTCCTCCTCCCTCCTCTGCCCCTTCTCTCATGCCAGGTAGTCTTCTCGGGCGAAACTGTCAGCCGTCTATTTCCCTGCCCATACAGCCTTTATTGAATGTTTGTGAGATCTGGATTAAGGTCTTACACAGCTAGCAAAGCCTTAATTATTTTTGCCTGTATTACTATATATTGAATCGATGTAACTTTTCAATAAAGGCAGTTCAATTCTGGACACTCCCTGATGATTTGGAGATATAGCAACCCTGGTAATTATCCTAGAGTGTAGGAGGTTTTCTTATTTTATTTTTTTTTTCCTGGAGGGAGCTGGAAAATGAATCAGGCGCCTAGTGCATAATATTATCTTGACAATCTATACTCATCAACTGTAAATGCCTGATAGATGAGGTGCAGGGTGGGGCAATGATGCTGCACATGTAACTCTCTGGCAGGGGGATTCTGGCTCACGTTTTCAACTTTAACTTGTCTATTACACTTAAAACTCATCAGCCCCTTCCTTTTGCTGGGCCCTCAGAGAGTTACCTACGGAGCTTATTAAAAGGGCAGAGCTGCTCAAAGAGCAAGATCCAGCACATGTCAGAAGAACAGCAGATTTCACATCTTTTCCTTCTAGCTTGTCTCACATCAGGGCACTGGGTGGGCTGGATCTCTGCTACATGGTGACCCTGACATTTTGCTCGTGGAAACCATAGCCAGCAGACAGAAAGCAGGCGTTAACTGGAGAAAAAGTAAGCACTTTTATGGTGGGGCAAGGGAAGAAGGCTTAACTGCACTTCATCCGTTTTCTTCTTACCTTTGGGAAAGCGATAATCCCTCCCCACTTTTGGTCCAGGAGGGAAGTTGGTATAGGTGAAAGGTGATAGAGAAATTGTACTATTCTTGTCCCCAGAGAGACAGCGGGGTGTCAGAGCACACAGGCTCTGGAGTCAAAATGTCTCAGACCAAGTCATCAGTCACTTGCTGTGTGGCCTCGGGCAAGCTACTTAACTGAAAATGGTGATAATGGTATGACCTTCCCCTTTGGGTCACCTGTGCCTTGAACAAGACAGTGTGTGTAAAGCGTAGAGTTCAGCGTCTTGCATGTGATGCTCAACAATGGTTAGCAAGTGTTAGAGGGCATTGGTTGCCCATGCCCTTCACACATGACTAAGACCATTGCACAACAAATCGAGAGAAGAACCTCTCCACTGGCCTGTGATCACGCAAGCACCTCAGACCACACTGTCACTCTCCCACTGTCTCTCAAGAGACGGAGCGTCCTTCTTATCAGTCCCTGCAGCCTCAGATTCCTTCATTCAGTGACTGTGGGCAGTGCACTCAATGTCAGAACTTGGTTTTCTCCCTCTCGGCACCAATGGGCACCTTGTAATGTTGGGCTTTGAGCTTCTTTCTATTCACCTGGTCCCAAATGAGGACGAGTAGGATTCAAGGCCTCTGAAAGGCACCCTTCGTCAACCCCTGCCTTCTCTCTGCTGGGCTGTGTGAAATATCCTTCACCTTGCCTTTTCTTCACACAAATTACTTTACTATAACCTTTGGAGATAGCTTTCAGCATTCCTATTTAACAGACTAGGAAACTGCGGTTCTTAGAAGGTAATGACTTGTACAGGTTCACACAGTCGGGAAGGAGGTGAGCTAGAACTCCAACACACATCTGATCAAGTCCAGTGCTCTCCCATCGGCTGATACTCAGAATTCTCCTCTTATCTCTCCACACAGGACTTTCCATTTTCATAGTTGTCATTTTTTTAGTCTGCAATCCTAATTTAAGTGCTTCCCTTCTCCTCCTCCTCTTCCGGTTCCTCCTCCTCCCCACGTCCTCCTCCTTCTAAGGTTCAAATCACCAGAAAAATCTGGAGGAAATTACAGGATCCAAAAGACGCTCAGGACTTAACCAGTGGTTCCCTAGAAATGACACTAGAGCCCAGAGCCTGTGCCTACGTGGAACCCACTAAATCGCCACTCCTATAGATACACTTGAGAGTGTGCAGCTCAGCCATTCTCTCAGCCTAGGCATTCTGACCTGTGGTGACCAGGAGCTCGCATGGCTGAGGACCCTAGATCGGGGTCTTCTGGCTATTACGACTGCTGTTGCCCCCACAGGAAAACCTCACTATGACCACACAGAGCCTTCCAGCTCTTTGGGCCAATTCAACGCTGACTGGGTGACACCACGGGGAGCCTTGGGCATGGAACAAGAAGCAGGGTGGGGATTCCAGACCAGGGAGCCAGTGAAAACCTCATCCTCGCTTCCTTGACCAAGAGCTGAGCAGGCCGCAAAGGTGGGTCTCCCTGGACAGGACAAATCGGGAAAGATCTGAGAAAACCAGCTCTACTTCCCCAACTCCATGTTTTGGGAGAGAGGAGGTGGGGGAGGGGTGGCAAATGGAAGTCAAGTCATGTGTTTTTTGTTTGGTTTTTTTTTTAGCTGATCCATCCTGCTACTTGTTGGCAGCTCAGCGGCTGCTCAGCTCGGGCCAGGACTCGAACCCCTGTTGCTCAGAGCTCAAACTCTTGAGCGAGCTCTTAACCAAAAGTCATGCTTTTTATCCTCAAAGTGAAGCTGAAAATATTTGCAAGGGTTGTCTGGACTGAGGAGAGGGCTGCACTCCTCTGTCTCCCTCCCACACCTGCACCCCTCCTTAGCCTTTCTTGGGCCTGTCACTCTGCATTTCCCAAGGAGACCTGTGTGGCCCCCCTTGGTTTAAGGGACACGACTAAAACCAGAGAACTTGGAAATTTCACTGCAGTGGTCATGGGGAAGGGGAAGGCACAGCAAGTATTTGGCAATTGTTTTCATTTCCCAGTTGGGAGATGAAGCCATCATGGAAAAAGTTCTGAGCATGTGCTCTAAGGATGGGATGGAAACCACCTGCTTGATGAGAGATGGAGCAGGTGGAGACACTTAGCTACAGGCTGAGCCTGTTTCTCTCTGAATCAGGCATCTGGATGAAAACTAATATATCTATATTATCCCCCCTCAAACATACAGATGTTTCCAACTACTCACATGTCGGGTAGCATATAGACCCAACTGCTTTGTCTAGTTAAAAGGAAAATCATTTTCAGGGACTCTTCTGAGTGCTGGGTTTTCAGTTCTCATTTGACAGTTTCTCTGCTAAGTCAAGTGGCTTCCAGGAGACAACATTGTCTGATGGTAGGATGGGACAGGAACCGACCGCACCTCCCAGAGCTCTGCTCAGCCACAACGGGCGAATGAGCTTTCATGGGTGTCCCCAAAGGATCAGGAACCTATTTGCTATCATAAAGCTACTGGGCAGATGCCGTCCCAGAAACAGCACAACTCATCTAAGGCTCTGCTGACTTCAGAGGTTCTGGCCCACAAGGGGTTAACCAAACTTCTGCCCTTTTTGGTTTTATCCAACACTGCTGGTTGTGTTTTCATGTCAAGACTCAAGGCACAGCCTAAGCATAATGTGGGTCGGCAGGATCCACCGTGTTCAGCAGTTTCCAATTTGTTCTTTTGCCATCAGCTGCCTCCCATTCACACTGAGATGATTAGATTCTCATGTACTCATCACATTTGTGTTACGTTGTGTCATATTAAATTTTAGGACATCGCTCAGAAATGGCTTTGACGGGGGATTCATTTTTGTCCTTAGACACAGTACGTCTTTTTTGCTTTCTTCCCTACCGCACCCTGATCGGGCACCTGCTATCAATTTGACCAGCATGTAACCAGGACGCTCATTGCTGCCAGGGCTCCTGATGGAGCCAGTGCATTTGTGCCGTGGGAACGTGCATGCACAGCAGACGGCAGGCTGATTAGGTAAGCAGTGATCACCATGTGACATGTGACGTGGTGACCAGGCACCCTCTGGGAAACAGTGACATGGCCTTGTGGAATGTAAAGGTCCGGGGAGTCCACACACTCCTAGGGGGTATGTATGGCTCTCTCACAGTTAATTCTGGGACCTTGAGGAGTTGTCCAGCTTCTCTGTTATTCCCCATCCTGCTCTTGGGTGGAGTACTAGCCCAGGTGTACAAACCATTCGTGCACCAAGATAAAAGCATCAAAGCATCTCTTTGCAGGTAAATGGCGAGAGATATAGGAGGATGCTGTGCTGCCTGCTCTGACTTCGCTGGTCCTGTGGCACAGGTATCATGCTTACTCCCAAACTGGAACCTTTGCTTACCTCTGAATCCATTTCCATTGCCACTGGAGCAGGCGGGAGAAGGGGAGCCTTGGGGCCTGATGACAGGGGCAAAGGCACTCTTCTGTTTGACAGCAGGAAAAACTGAAGAGGAAAATGGGAGGATGGAAGACGTGCTGGAAGATCCAACAGTAGGACTTGATGACATGACTGGAAAGCAAATGCACAATCCTCTTTTAGAAAAGGACATATCGAGGAGTTCTTCTCAGTACATAGAACCTGTACACAGTTATTGAGAAATGACTAATGGGTTCCAGGCATTGTTCCAGATTCTAGGGCTTTAAAAATATGTTCAATGTGCCCATGTCTCTGCCCAATGTCTCCCACTGTCCAGTGGGAGAGGAGTACACAAATAAAGCAGCCAAGAGGTTAATAATCCTATTGGAGGAATGTACACGAAGCCATGGAGACAGAGCGGGCAGGGTGCTTTTCTGCCTGGGAGCGTCAGGCATGCACCACCTGATTTTGTGATAGGCCTTAATTCATGAGTAGATGCTTCACAAGAGAAGGCTAAGAGCAACATCTGAAAACTCATCACATCCACTCAAGAACTGAAACTTCTTTTTCACCCTAAAAAGAAGTCCTGTCCAGGAGCTGTGTACTTCCCTGGAAATTCTGGGGGCCCCAGAGTTTTGAGGTACAGGATTAACATCTTCTTGGAGAGTGCCATCTCTATGGGCACTTCCTCATTAAATGTAAAAGTGTATTAACATTTCGGAGATTACCTCCCTCTCCCGCTACTTTCAGAGCTCCTGGGAAATAAAGCTGCAAGTCAGCCTCCTCTGATGTAATGCGTAGAAAAAAACCCCACTAATATTAACATTAAAATTACTTAAAGGATGCCAAAAGCTAAGTGTTGTAATTTCCAAGAAAAATAAAGGCAATGTACACAATGAAGTGCTCCACCTCTTAAAGTCAGATTCTCCACCAAGTTACAACACGCGAGAAGATAATTTTATCTTCTGTGTTCAACGTGCTCAAGAAAGGGGTAAAATAGAGTTCCCAGAGGTAAAATTGTTAGAGATAGATTCTCAGAGTAGAAGGTCAAGTTGCAGGGACTCACTGTAGCATCCTCTGCAGAATTCTGAACTGTCCATGACTTGGTAAGAATTACTAGGCCCTAAATGCAAAGCCCATGATAAAGGCTGGGAGTGCTAACTTCTATTTCATATCCTCAGTGGCCCAGCCACTCCATAATTAAATTTTGAAAGTGAGGACGTGAGTGTGACTTATGGTTCAAAGCCCAAGTACAAGGTGAATTGAAGGTCAAATGTTCTGATGTCCTGTGTGAGGCTCCCTCCCAGGTTCCCCTCTCTCATAATAAAGATACACTTTGGGCTATGTTCACACAATTGCATTATAAAGCAATCACACAGCATACCTCCACTATGATGTCTTTTACAGCTGACTACAAACCAAAGACATCAATAACAGAGCTTTATCTAAAAACTGCTTATCCTTAGGTCGTCCTGCTTTAAAGAGCTTTGCAGAAGAAAGCATCTGAGTACAGCTCTGTTTTTCCTCCAGTAATATGAATCAAAAATAAAAAATTGGGAAGGAGGATAAAGTCCTGTAAGACTCTCACATAATACTTGAAGATGCAAATGGAGAAGATATTGGGTTAATTCACTAGTATTATGGGGTAGGATACAGGGTTAAGCATTGGGAGTGGAACCCAGTCATAGTTCCAAGCAAAATCTCCTAACCTTGGTTTTAGCATCAGTGAAATGTGGATCGGAGCAGGGAGGGAGGGAGCCTCTCCCGTTTCTGTGATGCACAGAATTAGAGGCCAAAGAAAGGCTGAGACTCAGGAGGCCCTGATTCTGACCACCGTCCAGTCTCTGCCATAACATGTGATCCATGCAGGCACCAAAATGGTACCTTGGCTTCTGTGTCTGCAATAGCAAAACCTCCCCGCATACATCGCAACAGAGGAGGGGTTTCATAATGTGAATTAGGCACGTACACACACACACACACACACTCTCTCTCACACACACACACTCACACACACTCACACACACACATACACACACACTCACACACACACACTCACACACACACACACTCTCACACACACACACTCGATTCAATTTCTATTCAGCATATGACTCATTTTACAAATATTTCTTTTCTAATAACAGATTCCCAAACTAAAGTGGGCTCATTAGATCAAGTATGGCCGCCTCTCAGTAGGAGTCACCTCAAGCTTTACTAAATGACATAAAGGAATTGTTGAGAGTTGAATAAGCACAGAGCTGGAACATACCCATTTAAAACATTTTTTACAAAACTTTGTCAAATGCCAAATTAGTACATCCAAGTAATTTAAAATTTAATTCAACTATAATACAAACCCTAAAAGGAATTTTAATGTGTGCCTGTCAACAAACATAATTTCTATGTTTATCTATTTTTAAAAAAACAACAACACTGTAAGAGCCACAAAGCCTTGTTAAAAAAAATTTTTTTAAGTATTAAGGAGGGATTTATCTTAACAAATATTAAAATTTATAATAAACCTACATCAATGAAATCAGTGTTATACTAGCATAAATATCGGCAGACAAATCCTTGGAGAAAACAGAGTCCAGAAACAGACCTGAGTATATGTGAGAATTAAAATTTAATAAACCTGACATTTCAAATTAATAGGGAAATGAATGCATGGGAACAATAATACACTAGCCATGTGGTGACTAAATTTAGAGTGCTTCCTCATGTTAAACATGAAAGTAGATCTAAGTGGATTAAAGAGTTATCTGTAAAAACAAAATTCTAAAGGTGCTTGTAGAAAAATTAGGAAGGTTATATAATCTATATAATCCTTTCAACCCCCAAGCCTAAAGAGAAAGTCACAAGATAGATTTGCCACATGACAGAAAACTTCTGTGACACACAGAGAACAGGCAAATAAGCAAGTAGGAAAAATATTTGTGATTATTATTTAGATGTGTTCATATCCCCACTAGCTAAGTTTTTAGAGATTAACTAGAAAGAAAAAGCATCCCAATGGAAAAGTGGGCACAGTACATGAAATGGAAAGTCACAAAAGGAGAAATAAAAATGACCAAAAGACCTTTATAGACCAATAAACGTTCAAACTGATTAGTAACCAAATGCACATTAAGACAGTAATGAGCTGTTATTTTCCACTTAGCAAACTGATAAAGATTAAGAAAAAGTTAACAGGGCAGGAAACAGATACTTTTCCTTTACTCAGGGGAGTATTAACCTCTCTGGAGGGACTTTCTCAATAGGTACCAAAGTATTTGTATTTTAAAATGTGTGTATTTTTATACCCAGTAATTTAATTTCTAGAAGTTAACTCCAAGGAAATAGTTATAAATGCACAAACAGGTAGATCCAAGGGCATTTTTATAATTGTGAAAAATTAGGAAAAAACTGAAGTGACCAACAATAGGGTAAACTAACTACATGAAATCCATAAAATGGAACGCTATGCAAACATGAAAACGAATGTTGGAGAAGACTCTTTAATGATTTAGAAAGACATCCCTCCTCAGATGAATAAGGCAGATTACATAATAGCATATACATCGAACCCACTTTTATTTTTAAAAAACATACAAAGCAAAAGTCTAGAAGGATGTGATTTACAAACTTTTAATGATGATATCTCTGACTGATGGAATTATGAATATTCTTACATTTATTCTTTTTGCTTGTCCATACTTTCAAAAATTTCTGCCATGAACATGTATTACTTTTGATGTAGCAGAAACCAGAAAAAAAGCTGTTAAAATAAACACATGGGAAATCTCTATTTCTTTGGTAAAAAAAATAATATAATCTTTAGCAGTAGACATAATAGCTATCTTAGATATTAATATTCCTCTTCGATTTAAAGCTTTACTTCCTGCAAACGAGGTTGTCCATTTACCTTTCTGTTACAAAAAAAGCAAAGACACTAATAAATTCTCAAATTCCTGGGAAAAGTCTGTTCATTGTAGTTAACTTGTCTAAGCATGCACCACTCCTAATATCTGTTCACCGTTCTTAGGACACAAGTGTGCACCCTTGACAGACTTCATAGAGCCTAGCTTCGTATCTGTGACTTGGGTAGTTTTGCCACTTTTCTTCTACTCCCTCTTTCATTGGTCTTATGGCAGAATCCCATTAGCTGTGCATCCGAGCAGACACTGCAATTTTCAAAATGTGTCTTTCCACGACCAGAAGGCGATCATTTAAAAGTTAACAATGGTTATCTCTGCATAGAAATAAAGTGCGTCATTTTTCTTTTCTTTTTTACATATACATGCTCTTCTAATTGTCTATAATGAGAACATTACTATTGTAATAGGGTATTTTTTTCTTTTCTAAAGAAGACAATAGAAATATATCAAAATGTTAACAAGATTATTTTTTATGGTGGGAGTAGGTTTCCTTTTTAAAACTACTTTCATGGGCTCCACATTTTCTACAATAATCAGTTAATAGTCTACAATAGAAGCTGTCTTGGTGTTTAGTTTTGAAAACATAAAAATATTGAGGGCATAGTCTAAGACTCTGTGAGTGAAGTAGGGGTCCCCGAGGAGAGGTTGGATTTCTGTCTTATGGATCCTGTTCCAAAGTTTGGATTTGCTTGGTGGCTATTCTGCTCTGGAAGAAGTGGTCCCCTGGGTGTTGCAGGCTTGTTGAGTAGGCCATCTTTGGGAACACCAAAGTGCACCATTTTGGGAAAGCTGACCACACGTACTCACAATTGAGAATTTCTCTGGACATCGCTCTCTCTATGGAGAGAGGCCAAAGCAAAGACCAGCATGTCTGGCCCAGAAATCTCTGTGAACATGGGGAGTTCAGGAAAAACCACTTTTCTTCTTCTAAGGATTGATTGGCTTGCACGGTCCCAGCTGGACCTCACCGGGCACACATCCTCCTTTGCATTGAGCCATTGCATTTGTTGGCGCTAAGGGGTCTGTCAGCATTTCATTATAACCCCTATTGTCAGGGGTTTAGAATTCAGCCATAAAAACTTGCACTGAGCTGGAACTTGGCACACACTGCTACCGCCAGGAAGTGAAGTTTGTATGTGAAATTGAAAAAACATCTGTTTGGCCATTTTTGAAGTGGTGTGAGAGCAAAAGCAGTAAAGATGCAGGGTTTTGATACTCTGCGTTGGCCATAATGCAAGTGAACTTGACCAAAAGGCTTGGCTTTATTTCTTTTTAATGTCTCTGGCAAGTGATTGCTCCATGGCATGGCCCGGCCACATTAGACTAGTTTAAAAACTAAAATGAAAAACCATAGAATGGTGCTTTCAGACACAAGCAACTGAATTGACGAAATGG